ATGGCAAGAGAAGGCAAGTCAGCTATATGTCACATAAGCAACTGACATTTAGGGTAGTGTGTGCATTTAGACTCAGGGCAGGTTAATAATTAGAAAACAGAGAATACAGATAAAGGGTGAATCTTCAATATGGGATGATGTAGTTAATAGAGTACTAGAAACACTGCCCTTCCTAATTTCAATGAATGATCTACACTCTGATACATTTAGTAAACTAGTCAATTTTGATACCAAATTAGGAAGGGAGGATGATTTACAAAGACTGCAGAGTCAGCAGAGAGGCAGCTAATAACATTTTTTAAAAATGTGCATTGGGGGTTGTGCATGTTGGAAGTCAAAACCCAGACTATACGTATAAAGGGGAAATAAACTAGAAGAGAGTACTTATGAAGAAGTGAATGTGAAAGAGCACTAAAACTGAGAACAGGGGTCTTTCAATTGATGGTGTGAGTATCAAATGAGTTATCCAGCCATGCTGTCAAAGCCTATACCCTGGCTTCCTTCAAGATATGGCTGGATAAAATGTCAACAGTATGTTGTCTCCCTGGATCCAAGGTGTATAACATACAGATCTGGATAGATAAAAGTCACTTTTGGATATCAATCGTAATGCAGCTTTACATAGTGACATCATGAGCATGTGTGTGAAGGAAGAAGTGATTTTCATGCAGATATCAGTAGCTGAGACACTGTAATGATAGACAAGGTTGACAATTGCTTCCAAACTCTACAGTGCTCCTCCTGGAGGGAATGCCTCTATTTTAATCTTTTTTAAAAAATCAAGACGGAGTAAGGAATAGGATATGCTTTAAAGATTTACTAACATGTGAAATTTGAAAAATCTAGAGGAAATCACTGTATTAAAAAAAAACAGGATCCAGTCGATCTAGTTAAGAAATAGAGCACAATTAATTGCTAGCAAATAACAAAGGATGTGTTAGTACAACCAAGAAAGAGGGAAACGATTATAGCACACAGGAATAAAGTAGTGTTTATCAGTATTAAAACACCAGAAGAACAGTGAGGGCAAGATATTGTGTGGTTTCTCAAATATTAGAATAAACAATAAAAGGTAAACAGAAACAGAAATGTTACAAGTAATAGAACCACTTTAGGAGTTAATGGAATTCTATCAGCTGTGCTTAAGGAAATACTTTTTATGCACAAGCCAAGGACATACTCAGTAGGTTAATGGGCTTCTGGAAATATTGGCCCTGATGTAAGTGTGTGTGTGTACCCTGCAATAGACTAGCATCCAATGCAGGGTGTATCCCATCTTGCGCCTGTTGCTTGCTGGGATAGGATCTGGCTCCCCTGCCACATAGAAGATCAAGTGGTTAGAAAATGGGTGGATGAAAGTCTAACTAAAACAGTTTCCTAGGAGTCAACAGTAACAATGGATATACGACCATTTGATCTAGTTACCTTTAGACTTTTTGAAGTCTCAAAGTAGATGAACAGTCACATACCTGTTCCTAGGATATATGCATGCCACTATAAAGCCCGCATGGAAAGAAGTGTCTTCTGACAATATTCCAGTGTTTAATTATTCAGCATCACCCTCAATTCCTCTTTCTTGTACTTCATGTTTCTTCCTTTTTGCTTTCAGATTCTGTTCATATACAACAAGTGACATCTTGTGCACACCTCTACAACAATTACCCAAAATTAACAGTGTTAATGAAACATTTGGAAATCCAGAGGCCTAGCCGATGTTAAAATTGTACAACTGGAGGCACACTATGTTGGGAGAGTCTGAAACAAGCTGTCCACCCATGCCGCAGAAACTGATCATCTGTTTTGTTTTGTTTTGTTTTTTTTTTTCAAAAAAGGGCAGAGTGAATGAGATCCTGAAATCAACCAAGTACTGTGACTAAATCATGTAGTTGAATGGACTGGCATCTTCTTATTTATTAAGTCCTTTTTAACAATTAAAATTTGAAAGAATGAAGACTTAACCGTGCGCGCGTTTGTCTGCCCCCCGCAATGCACTGGCGCCCCTGCAGGGTATCAAGTCTTGCGACCATTGCAGCCGGCTTCCACGTGACCCTGTATTGGATAAAGTTGTAAGAAATTGAATGGAAGAACTGAAATTTAAAAAGTTTTTTTAAAACTGTTTTGTCACGCCCGCTACTACTGGCACTGGCACATGAGACGAAAACACTCGACAATGTCTGCACTTTCCACAGAACAATTATTTATTGATGTTGCAGAAATGGCCGTTCTCAGTTCCAGGAGTCCTGGACAACTGGAAACTGCTTCAAGATGGGATTTTCTTATCAACAGACAGGAACTCGGAAGGAATAATACAGTGGTGCCTGAGACAAGGTTCAGAGAGTGTTTTGTATCAAAGCCACACATTTAACGACTTGATAAACCGTTTTAATACCTCCTTCACTTTTTTATTCTGGCGTTTTCACCACTCGTTAAACACTTCTACTTTTCGAGGTGGATTGTCAATTGCTTACCTTTAACCATTTTCTAAGGAATGTACAGGAGGATGATTAGCACAAGCTCGATTAGAAATGCACATAGCAATTGATCCATCCGTCTTTTTCCAATACACTTTCGGGGGGAAGCGGAGCCAGTTATTTTTTTCCCCGCAGTACCGACTATTTTCGCTAGAGGGAAATATAACCTAATTAAATTATAAGCAGAGTATTCAAAACACTTTATACCGTGTCTCCGTAAGTATTAAAGCAGAGTTGAGCAGCGCATTTTTCATAGTACAGCTATTAGTATACAACTAATAGTATGGTAGTAGTTCAAGTAGGTAGCTGCGTCAGCAAGCGTAGGCTGCAAAGGAACAGGTAACAGGTTTATTCCATGCTGTAAGGAAAGGAAACAACGTTGTGCCGAAACGTTGTGTTTCTTTCATTTCTTTTCAGCACAGAATAAACCAGTTACCTGCTCCTTTGCATGGCTATTAGTGTTTTAATTCATACTTGTAGCGATTTATAAGCTAGGCGGTGTATGTCTGGGTTTAAATTAAAAAGTGTTCTGTTAAAAAAAAGGTGTCCCAAGTAATTTTCATTAATAATCTAAAACATGGAGTACATAAGATTTTTAAAGTCCTATGTAAATTTGCTATCAATGACCCACTTGAAATTGTCAATGTCATTACTTACATTATTTCACAGTTTACAAGCAGTCTTTCTCATTATGTAATTCTAGGCAATGTTCACCATAGAAATTACTGTTAGAAATAATTGGTAGCAGCATTTGCCAAATGTAAGTCTCATTTAAAAGTGTAGATTTCAATGTAGCCAAGTTACCATTTTGGTTTATTTTCCACTGTAAAACTAAAGCCTCAACAGCATTTCTACAAATGTTAGTGGATTGGTTCAGGTTTTAGTGAAATTTCTTTTTCCAACATCTCAGTCCAATTTGCCATTCAGCTCATGCTGGGCAAGAAATGAACCCTGGATACAAAAGTAGTGTGGAGCATACCATAATAGACAATATATAAAGACCATGGCTATTTATGGTCAGCAGCCCACTGAAGGTAAGCAGGTGTGAGCCTGGTCAGTACCTGGATAAGAGACCTTCTGGGAAAAACTAAGGTTGCTGCCAGAAGTGTTGTTAATGGGGCCAGTAGGGGGCACTCACCCTGCGTTCTGTGTGGGTCCTGATGCCCCGGTATAGTGACAGGGACACCATACTGTAAAAAAAAGGTGTAGTCCTTTGCATGAGATGTTAAACTGACATCCTGACTCTCTGTGGTGATTAAAAAGTGCAGGGTGCTTCTCAAAAAGAGTAGGGGTGGCATCCTGGCATCCAAATTTCCCATTGGCCTTTACGAATCACCACCCATCTATGAACTAGCTTCATCACTCTGTTCTCCTCCCTACTGATATCTGGTGTGTGGTGAGCGTTCTGGTGCACTATGGTTGCCGTCACATCATCCAGGTGGGTGGTGCACATTGGTGGTGGAGAGGAGTCCCCATTACCTGTAAAGTGTTTTGAGTGAAGTGTCCAGAAAAGCACTATATACAGTAAGTGTAAGCAATTATTAATTATTAGTGAGATGAAATACATACCTACATACATATTTTTCTTACTTGGATGTAGTATAAAACGAAAAGGAGTTTGTCTTGACACATTGAGGAAAAAAGAAAAATACATCACCAGTCTTTCACTGATATTCAATGTACCAGTAACGTGATGGTTAGCCGTCTGCCTGGAGTGTTATCTACAGAAGCTGCGTCATTCCTTCCTGCTGTGTCCTGCATGATCTCGCAGTGTGAACAAATGCAGACAGACGGAAACGTCACATTGTGGGAGATGTGCTTAAATTCTCTCTAGCTCTCCCGTGAATTCAAGAGCGGTTAGTCAAGCTAATTGACTAGGACGTCCAAATTCTAAGGGTTTTAACGTAATTCAAAATAATTGCCAGTGATAGCCGCCAGTAACAACCACAGCACCTCCTGCATTTTTAGAAATCACATCATTTTTCATTCCATATCCTGTACTTCACGGGGATTGATAATATCCGTTAAGGACTCCAACCACCTCAGTGATTTATTTCTATAACATTTGAAGTTTAAACACAAACGACAATTTTACGTTTTGTTGGAAGCACATACGTTTTAAAAATAAAACAGTGGTGACGATTGAAATACTAATATATCAGTACACCTATTTCGAATTAGTATTGCAAAATGTTATTATTAAATAACAGGAATAAAAAAAAGCTTTCAGGTAACAAGTACATTCCTAGTTTAAATCCTACACACTGTAGTTCTTTTAAATCGGCTGGCGCTCCTGTAGGCTGTTACAAAGAGAGGCGGGGTTGTACGGCAGCGCGCCGCCGATGACCGGTGGACGCGCACTCCTCCAAGAGGATTCTGTGCCTCTTCAGCTGCGGTGCGTCGCATTGTGAAGCAGCTGGGGGAGCTCTGCAGGAATTTTGCGTTTGTTGTTGTTTCGATCCTTTGAATTGGATTCCGGTAGTTTTCACCATCTCTCTCTCGCCTTTTCGGCTTTCTAATCGGTTCGGGATGTTTTCTGAAGCAGAAACATGGAAACATGGACTGTAACATGGATTTGTAATCTTATCACTCGGTGCTTCCACTCCCTTGTTTGGGAGAGCTGTGCTGAGCCTTATCGATAACCTAGCTGGTGTTTCAGTTCTTTTAGCTGTATATAAAGTTTTTTTTATCTTTGTTGTTATAATTATTCATGGGGGGAAATCTCTAAGAATCTCTCCAATCACCCTGATTTTATTTTTGCAAGAATAAAAACAACGGGTTTTCGAGTACCGTAGCCTTTTTAACCCGGGTCCAAGCTGGGAAAATGGAGGCTGTTATGGAAAAGGAATGCAGTGCGCTTGGAGGACTTTTTCAAACCGTCATCAGCGATATGAAGGTAATAAAATGTAATCAAGTTAAATGAGACTTAAGCTGAACAACCTTGTTTTATGCGTTACCATTACGTCATGCTTTTTCCCTATTTAGTGGAAGTTAAAGGTGTAGGTGAGCTGACATTCAGTAGCTTATGTACTGTAGGACTAGATTTACACAGACTGTGTCACAGTACTTAGAATCTCACATTTCCAAACCCATTATCACAATGCGTTAGACAAATTACACCAAAAACCTGCTGATGAATATCTTGAGCTTTGGATTTATTTGGAATTTTATGTTTTTATTGCTTCACAGACTGTGGGGCTGTATGACTGCATTGTTTTTACTCGGGGGAAAAATTATGCCTGTCGTCATCTCCTACGGTTACGGCAACAGAGGCGCTATACAAATCTGAGGTGGTTTTTGATGCAGCGGTGAAGTTTATCCATCCACATTAAATGTGCTTTACTATTTTGCATTTTTAACCTAAATAGTTCTAGGACTAACGACAGAACTGATGCATACATGTAAGAATTGAATAACAGTATGCATGTTTATTAATCTGATTTTCTTTAGTTTGTCAAAGCAACCGTATGTTTGTTCTTATGCATTTTAGTTTGAACAGACAAATCAACCTAACCGACCGTTTTCAGATAACGACAGGGAAAGTGCACATTTGCACACATGCTAAAACTTAGAAATATTCCCTACCTGAACTGAAAGATACAGCGTTTAGGGAAGCACCTGAGATCGAAAGAGAGGCGTCTCGCCTCGTCTGTCTCTCCACACCTGTTCCGAAGTTGCGGAATGTTGAAAATGGCAGCTGCGCTCGGCCACACAGGGTAGTTGCAGCAAGGGTGAGCTGGACAAAGTACATTGGGGTGATGATACCCAACAATGAAGTCAATGGCTGTTAGAGAAGCGAAGTGATTAAGTAGGAGACGCCCCCCCCAAATTAGGCCGCTAATACAGCCACCAACTCGGAAGTACAATAGATTCGTTTAAAAAAGCGCTTGTTATTGTTTGTACCGAGTAAAGCTGAGTGACAGATTCACTGGCACGCTCCAAGAAGAGACTTTGCGAAATGTGAAAGGTCACCGTAAAACGAACAGGTGCCATGTCTTCTTAGAAATAATGAAGATCAATTTGTTGTACCGATCGGCAGATCGTGAGATGAGCTAAACGCGTATAAAAGGGTGGTTCATCATTCTTCAGGGTGATTGGTGAAAGTTATAAACAACACATCTGCATTTTGAGTAGGTGTGTGGACGTTATTATGCAGTAGCCCATCTACTGTACATCGAGCTTAATTGTCAAAGAAATACTGTTTTATTAAACAACATTTACTTCGCTGAAGATGGTGCTGTACTGTTTTTATTCCTTTGCGTATTTTGTTTTGTTTATCCTGCAGGTGTACATTTACAAGTAATACTTTGACAGTTGTGAGAAGCAGTTTGAGCTCAAGCGCTCACATGCAGCTCTGTATATCGATGTGTGCAGTTAGAAAGTCCGGTCTTTATATTCACGTATTGACGTTTTTTTTTTTTGACGGTCCCTTCTCTTTTCAAGGTGGAGGAGGAATATATATTTTATTTTTGGACTTTTCTAGATTAATATGACTTTTCCACGGTGTATTGTTGAAGTGAAGGTACATTTCAGCATGGTTACCGTAAAAGAAAAGAATGTCAACTCTGGCCACTTGGAATGCTGGACCGGGATAGCGACTTTTAGGCATTCATTAGTTTTTACTAGACGTATTTTAGTATTTGCCTTTGTATGTATTAATATGGATAGATTTACGTAAAGCATTTTCCCAGTTCTCGTGACCCGTGTCTGTTTTCAATCCAGATTAATTTAACGTTGGTCATCCAGAGGTCTTTGATTGTCCCACACTCCTACGTATGGGGCTTCAAGTTATGAATTTTAGAATATAAAACAAGTTTTCTAACATTTCCAGGTATGACCAGTTTTAATCATTAAGTATACAGTAGGTAAATAGAATAGATAGTTAATTTGGGGCGTCTCAACCTTTTTTGGCCTGTGCCCCGTTTTTAGGTACCCAAATTCTCGTGACCCCACTAATTAGAACAGAGTTATTCAGTTACCCTAACAAGTGAGCCAAATGGGAAAATCAAGTGGGGTTCGTGGGCTGAGTCAGAATACTTTGTCAACAAAAGGCTACTATAGATAACACTTCTATATTATACCACAACAGATTTCTAACATGTATAAAAGCATGTTTATCCCTTTCCTTTTATTTTAATTGTGTCATGAATAACAATTTCACATAAGTAGCCACACCACACACAAAACACAGGTAATGTAGAGCTCACAAAGCATGACGTATATTTACCAAACCAACCAAACCCAGTGCTTTTCAACCATGTCCATAAATGTGTAATAGAAAATAAAACATTTTTACTATAGCATTATGCAGGTATACATTAATCAGGTAATTAAGCTCAATATCCATCAAGCATATGCTGTCAGCAATCCCTGCCTGATCAGTCAGAGAATGAGAGAAATCAGTGAGAGAAACTGGACTGTCTTGGGCACCCGTTCATTTTCTCTCCCCACACCATTTTTACCATGTCAGTAGCTGCTGACAATATCAGAGTCTCAGCAATGGTATGTGACTTCATAGATTTAGCAGTGCGGTAAAAGACGCGCTCGAAGCCCTCTCGTTAACCGTCATGGGTTTTCTAAACCGCATACGCTGCCTATTCAACTCAACGCTTTCAAAAAAAGATCTTGGCTTGCCCAATTATTTCTTGTGAGTGGTCTCGAAGTGTCTTTTGAGTTTGTTTGGTGTCATACTCTCTGTGGAGAGTACATTACCGCACAGTAGGCATTCAGGCTTTTCCTCGTTGTTTTCCCAGATACGCGTAAATCCGTACTGAAGAAACTATTCGTTATATTTCCGTGCACATTTACACTTCAGGGTCTCGGGTTCAACATCGGTTTCACTGGCAGATGTCGGTGTAGAGTTGGAGGCGACCGGACGAAGAAATTAATAACTGACTTAATAACTATGACGCATAAAGCTAGCCACCATGGCCCGGAACAGTGGGTGATGTTGGTTTGACAGGTTGCATTTGGGTAACGAGCGGTTGTGCAAGTTGTCATGATTACTTTCAGAGTATAGGGCGCACACTTTGTTTTCATGAGCAAGAGTGGAGCTCCAAATTAAATATATTTAAATTATGGTATGTTTCAAAACCAATTTCAACTTTTTTTAATGTAATGTACTTCAGATTTCCTTGCCTAGAACTCCAGTGGGATCCATAATAACAGTTCATAGACATCTCCCGAGACTCATCTGCATATCAGGCGACCCAAAGGTTGAGAAACACCGAGTTAATTAGTAAGTTAAATTGAGCTGAACTAGAGCAGTAACCAGAAGGTCCTGAAGTCAGAAAGACCCTTTTCTGTCTGAAAGACTCACTTTAAATGAATTCAAGATGATCTTTCAAAGCATTACTGATTAAATGTCCTTCACAAATCTTTTAATTTTGTTTGCATTGAGTGCAGTGCAAGAACACTTGATTGTGATCTGTATACGGTATTTTTTTTCTCTGTAGACATCCACATTAGAATTAACCTAACCAAATGGACAATCTTTACTTCACAGCATTAATTCTGCACAGTGACTTGTTTTGAAATTCCCATATTGAAGTCGTGTCCAAGTATGGATGCGCTCCACCTTTGTAACTTCATCTGGCTATTTGAGTTATGCACTGAAATGAAGATTATACAACTGTTTTATGCAGTGCTTTTTATGAAAACTAAAAGACAAAAGGACAGTTTTTGCAGCCTAAGCTTAATTCAAATTCAACCAATCATTTTAAGACAGTGGTTCCCCCATCCTGTTCCTTGGGACACCTTCATCTTCTGGTAATTTTCAGACTACATTCTTCATCAACAATGCATTTGATTGATAAGCTTTTTTAATGCCCAACGTCAGGGTGCAGACAGTTGAGTAGAGACTGGGAGTGGGTACCTTATTAGTGACTGAGCAGCTTTTAATAGGTGATCAGTTTATAATGAACAGTCACAGGAGGGAATGACAGTGTATCAAAATACTTCCGACCATCAGAATTTTGTTTCCTTTCCACAGATGGTCACTTAGTTATATACAGCATAAGGAAAGGTATCTGTATAGGGTTGATGCCATTTTATTAAATGGTTCTGCAAACTTCATATATTATTCTTAAGACTTCTGAAAGATAAATCAAGGAATGACAGTTCTGTGTGTGTAATATAAACATGTGAATAGATCTTGCTGTTTGTAGAACAACCTAAATCACTTGGAAAACAATTTTAAATGTGATGTCTATAAGGGGCACTCGGAGGTGCCTGCTATACCCCAGAGATGAGGTTTGCAGCACATTGTGAAACCCCTGACTAACCTCAGCCCACTCAGTCCTGGTGCTTGGCTAATAGTATGCTAGTGCTATGGGAATCCAAGTCTCAGTGAGTCTCGAACCAGGGGCCTCTGTGCTCTAGGGCTTAACCTACCCTCTGAGCAAGCACCTTTGTTGGCTGAGCTGCTGGAGAACCAAATCTTCTCTACTAAAACAATTTCCACCTGATTGTATGAAATATCTTGACAATTCAGTGCACTGACTTTTCCACCGTTGATAGCCTTCTTAACTGACTGAATCCAGTCAGAGCAGTGCAATAATGGCTTTGGAAGTAGGACGTGTTTAGCACAGGCAATTCTCAGCAGGTGAGACTCTGTCACCTTGTGACCTTGTGCCAGCCCTTGGCTCGGCAGTAGAGCTTTTTCTGTTGGGTGTAAATGGAGTGTGACAAAGTGATACCCACTTTGTGTGTTATTGTGTATGAGTACATAGAAAATGCTATGTACACACTCCATATGTGCAGGAATTGCAGTTCTAGTTTTCATTAGATTTTTTTTTTGTCATGATTAAGAACACAGCTGGGAAAAAATCAGACCGTTAGAGACTAGAAACTAAAATGTTTGAAATGTTTTTTATTTGTGATCATATATATGTGGACACATATTAGAATCATTAATAACATTTGAGCAAAACTTTGAGATGATGTTTTAAAATTTGAACTAAGTTCTTGTGAGCAATGCGGGTTCTCCAGTTCCCACCCATCTCCCGAAGGCATGCAAGGTAGTCTCCCCAGCATAAGTGTCTTACTGATAATGTGTGGAGTATTGCATAATGTATTTTAGTTCAGTGTTGCATAAGTATTTAGTTAACTGCTTAAAATGTATACAGTCAGTTTTATTCTCTTTGGAACAAAATTCTGACACTGTTTTTATTTACTTCATAAAAATATGCATAAAAGGTGGCATGATGGCACAATGGTTAGCATGCTCTGTCTGTGTTCACAAGGGATTTCTTCACATACTCCAGTTTCCTCCTACAGTCCAGTAACATACTGGTAGGTTAGTTGACGTCTGGGAACACTGGCCCTGGTGTGAGTGTATGTCTCTGTGTGCCCTCTGATAGACTGGTGTTCCATCCTGGGTGTATCCCACTTTGCATACATTGCTTGATGGAACAGGCACTGGCTTTGCCGTGACTTAGATTAAGTGGTTAGAAAATAGGAGGATGGATTAAAACTTTATTTTAACTGGCATATTTTTCAATACAATTAGACATTTTTATTCTTTTACTTGTACCTTTGCTGTCCTGTTTTTTTTAAAAGAAAATACAGTGCTACCTACCACACCTTGACCTGAGGAATTTCTAATTCAACTGTTATGAAGTTCTTCACATAATGGCTGTTCTCTAGTATGATGGAGTATTCTCTCTTTTTACTAGAGCTATTTATTTACTGACGGTGTCCAACTTTAAAGCCTAGAGGACCATATAGGGTGCTTGTCTTCATCTCTTGTACTTTAGGTGGCTGTAAATAAAGAATGACAGCATCACCAAGCCACTGCATCCATTAACAGATGTCTTCACATTTCACTGGAAAACCTGAAATGTGAATAATGAACAAAGGATGCTTAATGTACTCTTCAAAAAAATTAACCAAAACTATCAACAGTATACTCTGGCCTTCCTTAGCAAGCAAAGCTGTTGGTTTATGTCATATTAAATGGCTACAGGCCACCACTTTCAGACAGTGATTTTATTTTTTATTTGTTTTTTGCTAGGGTGTTGATTTTAGGTTTTTGTTTGAAGGTGGAAGTTAATACAGTTACCATTTGATATCCCCTTTTTAACTTTGTCTGTGCGTTTGTGGAAATTACTGGTTTTCCTGTGAGGGTTCATCTGTGAGAAGACATCAGTTGGTGTTAAAATTCATGAATAGCCACATTTTTCTTGGAGAGTTGGAGTGAAATACTGCTGAAAAACAATTTACCTTTTCTTTGCCTCAACAGAGCAGCTATCCAATCTGGGAGGACTTCATTAACAAGGCAGGAAAACTTCAGTCGCAGCTCAGGTAGGTAATAAGTGAGCTATGTCACAGACTCTTTAATTGCGGTGTTTTCCATCTGACCTGAGCTCTTGTGACACATGGGGACACACATAAGTGGATTTGAGTGCTGGGACTGACCAGGGACTTCACAGTTCACCCTCACAACCAGCCATGAAGAGCTATGCCTTAGTTCAGAACTCAGCCGAGGACTATTACTTTTTAAAGAATCAGAAGGATACATTTTCAGATTGCAAAATTAACACATTCTTAAAATAAATGTATAGGGAAAACTGTTTTTGCTTTTATTTCTCATTTTCCTGAATTGCTTTTCTATTATACAAGAAGTAGAAGTCAAATGTTACGCTACATACTGAAATGGTTTCAGTGGTGAACAATTACATCAACATTTTTTTAGAACATAATGTATTTATTATTTTTTGCTTGTTTATTGAAGGTAGCGATTCTATCTTGATAACCTTGCTTTGTCAGCATAGGTTGATTTAGCCACTTCAAATGAAAACACACCTGTCAGGGCTGAGTGAACATCTAGAAGCACTTCACTAATAATCTGGGTCTGGAGTAACAAACCAAATTAACTTTCATCCTGTGGATTAAATGGAGAATTTAGAATTCAACGGTAGTTACAGAGTTTTCTGTTGTTATTTTAACTGCTATCATTTGAGTAGAATAGAGTTAGGTTGTCAATCATCCATTTCAAATTACTGTCCCACATTCTGGCATTGAGGCAAGCTGAACGCCCTTCCTAAAGAATGTTTTATCCTACAGTTAAAATTGTAAGTAACAGTGAAGGGAAATTTGTTTTTTGTTTTTTTTGTGGACTGATATAATTTAAATTTCAGATCAAAAGATTAGTGAGGCATTAGTATAGACTTTCCACTTTTGTTTATGGGTATTACTTTACATACATGTTTAGCTATGTTATAACAATGTCTCTTTCTGTGTTTTCTAACTGTTGTAAGGAAACATTATCCTTGTGTGAGACAGTTTCCAGTTTGACTGCTCACTGTTTCAACTTGGGTAATTGGTTCACTTTATTGTCATGTGTCATGTAAAGTACTCTCATTATTTGCAAACCATATCCAACATCTCTATTTACTATTGTCTCAGGGACACACTTTATAAGGAGGCTGCCTACTTCAGTTCAGCAGATCAGGTATAGAAGTAAGATATTTCTTCAAATCAGCAGGAAACGTTTGGAAGGCTGGATCATACAGGCACTAAGTGGAATTTAGCCAAGTCACTAGGAATAACAGTCCTACACTTATGAACATTTCCATGGGATCTTTATATCTTAGGATGTTTTGCATTTCATCATAATTATGGGATATCTTAATATAATTTAAATAAAAACTCACAGTATATATGCGATCAATCAATTGAAATATTTAGATGTGACAGATATTTTTATTCTGACTTTATATCACAGATCTGTTGTTTGTTTTTTTTCTCCTGTTCATTTTTTGGTTGTTTAGTTTCTATATAAAATGTTAGTTGTTGCTTTGTATTCTTTAAAACAGTAGCTAGTGTTATTGAAACCAGCCCTGTGCATAAATAAAATGAAAAGTTCTACTTTTAGTCTGTTGAATGTGGATAACTGTGGAAACTTGTGGAACCCTTGGAATGGATGTTTTGAAACTTCGAACGATGAGGCCCAGCACATTGAAATCTGTAATTTTGTACTCTTGTTACAAGGATGTTTTATAATTACTGAGAATTTTAGGTAATCTTCCCTTCCCAAGGAAAAAAAACTATTAAGCCTTCACTTAGTAAATTTGCCCACAGGACTTCTAAGCAATGTCAGTTGTGTATAATCAAATGTATTTCACCATACGTATTTTAAGATGAAACCATCTAGAAACACACCACAAGCCTTTCATTTTGACCTCCTTCTTCTTGGTAAAAGACTTTGTTTCTCCCTTTACATATGTTTGCTGTATCCAATTATTTCCTGCTTTTTCAAGCCCCCACCCATGAGAAAATGCTGTCTGTTCATGTCAACTTCATTGAGTGTGTGTATATCTGGAACGGAAAAGGAAATGCAGTTCTAGAAAGTGGAAAAAAAACATGATTATAAGAGATTTTTAATTCTTTCATTTGTGAATGTATTGTTTGAAAAAACAGCAAAACTTAATAGTCATTGTATCTGTATCAGGGGAAAAGTTTGCATGTTTTTCTTTTAACCCCAGACTGCATTAGTTTTTGTATTTCTCTATTAAATAAATTTTGTTAATTGGAGGATTAAATTTCCTTTCTTTTTGAACATATTACAGAGAAACAGTAAATGTACTGTAGGGAGACATTGCAGTTACAGTGAGATTGCACATTTTCTCTTTAATGTTCTCCAACTGTGTTTTCTTAATTTTTCTTCAGTTTTCATCCTTATGTGGAGCCATAACTGTCATTTCTCATGCCTGTCTCTGAGTTTTGTGATACGACACACCCTGGTTGACCTTATAGACAGTTGCAATCAGGTCAAATGTGGAATGTTCCTCCTTTTGTTTTATTACCAGTCTTCATTACTTTCAACAGTTATTCAGTTTTGAAAGCATTTTTCATTGCTTTCAAAATAAGCACTCATTACGTAAAAGCATAAATATTTCTTGCATAATGCCTGCTGTCAAACTGGCCCATACTGTGCTGTTAATCTTGCTTTATGGGAGATAACTTGGTTTTCAGTTGCAGTCAAAATGCAGCTCAAGGTTTGAAATCACAGACTGTATATATATATGGTATGTATGGTATTTACTTACATAGTTTAAAGGTACTGTGATCCAAGGCAGACAGACAAATGTATTACCAGTTAGTATCTTTGCTTTCTTTTAAAAATGTTATCAGCTAAACCTAAAGGCCAAGATCTAACTGAAAGCAAAAGAATGAATCCTCCAGCCCCTATAGTTCTTATCTAAGTGTTAGTGTGCAGCACTGGGAATGTACTTTAAGCATGTGTTGTAATTTAGTCTTAAAGATTGTAACCAGCTGTGCTCCACATCTGTTTCAGGACTACAGTAGTTGCAGCTGCGGCCTTCCTGGACGCCTTTCAGAAAGTGGCGGACCTGGCTACCAGCACACGAGGTACACAGATGTTCATGATGTCAATTGGAGGGGACAGGCTGTGCGCAAGCAGTATGTTGAAGGAAACCGAGACGAACTTGTCACTTTTCCTTTGTTTAGTTTGTCGCCTCCTTAATTGTTTTGGCGATTTCTGAAGGATTTGGTGTTTATTGCCTTGAAGTGGGTGGGCTCCCTTCAAGCACATGACCCGCACAGTGGAATTTGGAAGACATGGTGTTAAGTGGAAAAATCTTTAGCCCTGCATTTTTTAAGTCTTTGTTCGTTGATGGGGGAGCATGAACTTTTTAGTTTCAGTGTTGTCAACTTAATATAGGAGTCTTTGCTTTGGAAATCATAATGTTGTCAAGGGCAATGTGCAAATTTTATGATGCTCTGATAAGGTCTGTAATAGTAGTTAAGTACTACTTTTGGTTGTGCTAAATGGAACAACATACTGGGAGAATAGATTTGGAGGGCTGTGTCAGTGTTACCGTATGTGCACATTCCTCTAATGTGGATGAGAAATAGATAGGCCTGGAGAAAGGACTTAGTTCTTCACTACAGTATTAATATTATGCCATGAATCCTCATAACAAACCCTCAAAATTTGATCCTACAACATCTTCCTGCTGTACAGCTGTAATTTAACTTGAATTAAAAGCTGGATGGGGCACATATCAGTTTATACTTAACATCAGATATGGTGCTGTAAAACCTTCACTGCATAACCAAACACACCTCCCGTTACATGGCCACTCAGACAAAACAAAAAGAAACATTTACAGTTCCCTTCACCAGTTTGTCACACTACTTTATAGAGTAAGCTCCAGAGGGAAATGGTAGTGCAGCTTCCTCCCCAGAGATCATTACCTAGATTTGCTTTTGTCCTCTTGTAAAAAGTGAGGTGTGATGGGTTATTTTAAGGATTACAGTTCTTTCTGATTCAATCAACTTGTATTATCCAGGCTCAGTCTGTTATCATTATTGTGCTACCATCAGCTTGGGTAGCCAGCAGAGTAGTGATATGCCCAAATAGAGTCACAGCTGTAGAATTTAAGTGTTTGCTAATTTAATATGAAAGGTCCAGAGAAAGGAGGATTTAATCCAGTTTCCATGTCTTTTTTGTGCTCTAGATCATCTTAACAGATGAGTTGGGTGTCTTCTTTGCTCTTCTTTTTAGAGAAATGACACACGTGTTAAATTGGTACTGAGACAGGCTCATGTGAATTGTGGTAACAATGTAAAGAAAATTCAAACTGTAGCATTGTAGTGTTGTTTGACCTGAAGGGGCAAAATGGAGCCAAAGGCTTCTCATCTAAAAAAAATTAAACCTTTATTGTTGAAAATGGCTCTTGAATGTCATTTGTGACCACACTGAATCATGTTGGTTACAGTAGTTGTTCAGCTGCCTAGTTTTTTTTAAATATTTGCTTATTTGGTAAATGTCTTTTGAGCCTGTCTACCTGTGTAAAAATGCATCATCTCTAATTGCATCAGTGTTTTTAAATGTTAGTGGATTAGTAATGTGCAATTTAATGACTGTCCTTTTGCTTGCTAATGATGCGTACCTCAGGTTTGTACTTTGTGATTAAAAAAAATAGATCTAATCCATCTTAAAAGAGTGAAGATTTTAAATCTATATCTTTATAGGACCATATGTTTGTAATTGTTTGTAATTGCATTGTGATGGTTATTGGAATAAAAACAGCTTTATCAAAGTTTTTACAGCTGTGTTAAAAGCATTTTATCTTTTGATGACTGAAGTATCAGCACAGCTAGAAGCCTCCACTTTAAGGTCTGCAAAAACCAGGGTTATTTTTATCAGATCTCCTAAATTGTTTTTTAAAACCTATACATTTAGGAACCTTTGAGACTGACAATAACAGTTGTGGAAGGAAATGGGAAAGGGAGGCTCTCATCAGGCCTTTAGTTACAAAAAGTAAAGACAAGCCCTTTTATTTATGTTGGCGTTCATCACAATATTTAGTCTGACTTTCTCTTTGTTGTCACAAAAATAGAAGGGTGGTTTTGTCGCCAGGTTACTTGCGTGTGAATTGCTTCTGGAAGGAAGGAGTGTTTGTGTAGGTAGAAATAGAACTGCATGCCTTCCTCTCTTTCCTCTTTTATTATGATAACTTGGTTGCTAGGTGTGGGCCAGAAGTGAAAGTGAATCCATTATATGTGTGGGTAGATGGAGCTTCAGAGACTTAATTTGCCTATGTGTGGATTATCTTTTTTCCTTTTGTTATTTAGTTTTTCCAAGGCTGTGCTCCTTTAAATCGTTTATTGGAGTTATGTGTGTATTTGTTTCAGTTTTCCAGAAGGTACTGTTGCAAGTTAGTGACTTCCACTTCCCCACATCAGTTCTCTAAGGCATGACCCTGCTTCTGCTGGTGGTGTCCATGGCAACCAAATGGAAATCAGAAGGGAAATTGCTTGTTTTAACTCATTCCGTACTCAGCATCATTATGCACTACCAACTGAACTAGGACATGCAAAAGAGGGAAACTTTTTATATGTGTATACTTGTATAGCACTTCAGAAATGGTATGATTAATCAACAATGTGAAAAAACAAGAGCATTTATATGTGTCTTGTTGAAGTTTAAGTATTGCTATAGCATGTTGCTACCTAACTGATTTGCATCAGTTTGAGTGAATAGCAGCTCAAATCGTAGTTGTATTATTTTTTTAGTTCTGTGTCAGAGCATTGAGTTATATGGTTATGAAATACGCAGTTGGTCGCAGTTTGGACAGACCTTTCCTGGATTAAAACCTTTGCACAGGAAAATGTCAGTGCAATGTTTTAGCCATCAGTAGTCATCAGCATGTATATAGTATATAACTGTTGTAAATCTTTGCTTTTATATTTAATTGTTAAATAGATATATTTTATTTTTTAAAATATGTAATGCTGATAATTCCAAACTATTGCTGTATAAACTGTATTTTGGGACATGATGGAGTACGTTTCTTACTGCATGCATTATTTGCACAAAGATGCACATATAGCCTTGAATTCTCTACATTGCATTCAGTATGAGATGCAGTAGCCCACTAAGAGAAAGGTCACTGAAGACGCTCATGTAGAAAGATTGTTTGATTAATGGTTTCCCGGCAGTCAAATGATGTCATCCTCTAAATACTAAGCAAATGTTTCTTTTTGTTATAAAAGAGCATCTACTTCTGATATCTTCATTGCCTGGAACAAGTGTTTCTAGGTTACATCACAAATGAGTCGTGTAGGACCTGCGTTTATTAATCTTTCCTTCAGTAGCAGCAGTTGCTATTAGTGATGCACAAAAAAGTGACTTGCTCTAACATCCAGGCTGGTGCAGCTTTACGAGGATCTGCTGGCTTTTTGTAACAGGTCTTTTGTAGTCTCTGCTATTGGAAAATATCCATTTTAAGATCTTTCTTAGTCATGATCGCATATTATGAGAGACTAGTCTAATGTTGAGTTAGAAAAAATGAGCCATGGATAAATCACACTGAATTAAAATAAAATCCTCAAACCAGATGAGCAGTGAAAAACGTGGACATGACTGAAAATTAAGCATTTAGTTCTGCAACATTATTATTTCCGATTTGTTTTTCAGTCATATTAGAGTGGATTAGAGCACAATATGGTGATAGAACCTTGCTGCTTGTTGAAGGGAGCTGATGGCAGTGATTCAGGGCTCTGCAGTCCCATCTTTCTCATACAGAATCCAGGCATGCTGGAGGAGAGAACGCAGGGTATGCAGATGGCACCCCCAGGCCTGCCTTTCATGGCACATTTGTGTACGGATGGAAGTTAATCGCAGGAAAGCACTGCACTCATCCTAGGGTGTGTTATCATGGACTAAATCGAATTTTGCACTCTGTGTGTTGAAAGGAAAAAGAAACCATCTGCTGCATGAAGAACCTAAATTTGTGACTTCATTTTCAACTTTAAAACACAAAATATTTTGGCATAAACTAGATTTTCTTCTTGGGGTAACATTAAACAAAAGATTCTTTCTACAAAAATGGGAATAGGTATTCAGGTCCAGACTATTTGTGAACAATTGCAAGATGCATTATAAAATACCATGCAGTCAAAGAGAAAGTATTTAGCCAAATGAAAAAAATGTCTGGAATAGAAGTAAAAAAATGAAATTTTCAAAAAGCAAGTTCAGGAAAAATTACTAACTGACCCCTTTGGTTAGAGCAGAAGTAGTCCACTCCATCTTTGAACCGAAGAGTAACTGTACTAAGTGTTTGGATAAGATGTCAAATCAGCTTTTGTAAGTGTTAATTAGTTGCTATTTAACATTAGAATGGACTACCCCTGGGTTAGAGGGTTAAAAAAAGACAGCACACATAAATGTTGGCAGTATAAAATCTTAAGGATTTTTTTCCAGTTTCCTTTAAAGGATCAGTATCCCAGCATATAGTACAGTACCTCATTGAGAAATGAAACTTGTTTTGTTTGTTTTGGTATGATTTGAAATTATAAAGTTTATTAAATAATAAATATTATTAAATGTTCCATGGCTGTTAGGACTTACATGTCCAAACATGGAAAAATATAGTCTGTACTAAAATGGCCTATATTACATGTATAATACAACAGTCACTTTATTAAGACGTGGTTGCACAACTGAATGGAAGCTGTGTCTGTATGTACAGAGAGTGTCTATTTCTTTTGCTGTTTTAGTTTTTAAGTGAAACTGAGTAGTGCTGGCGGAAGAAATGGAAGGCTGCCATTTTTCAGCAACATGGTTTTTAGTGAACATTTTGTTTATGGCTGGTAAGCTCAAAGTTACTTCCAGTCTGACAGGAATGAGGTACCTGGATGAGGACTGGGATTTCCTTCCCAACTCTTGTCGAGCCCCTTGCCATTGGATGTGCTGTGATCTTTCAGGAGACCAGAGTGTATCTCACTGATGACGCTACACACTCATTTCTAGTACCAGATGACGCTTCTGCCCCAGGTTTACCCACTGCCAACGCAGCATTCAGCAATGCATCAGTTGACATTGCTGCTTGGAGATTGTC